ACATGTTTTACCTATATAGGATCATTTTTGTTTGTCTTGATGAGAAGAACATGACGTACATAGCCCGTTCAACCTTTTTGAAACACCCCGTACACGTGCGTGATAAATAGATTATCGTTCACGGAAAATTAAATAGTGAATGACAAGCGCGGTTGGATACGCGTTGAGAGAAAATTTTTCACCAACTTTTCTGTCATCAAAGGAACTGCAGGATGGCAATTGAGAGAAAGGCTGTGCTTTCTTCGGGGAGAGCGGCGTTTCTTTTTTGTGGTCATGGTAAATTATCAAAGTTAGTAGCATTTAATACTTGTACCGCCGATTCTACTTGTTTTCATCTTTTCCTCACTAGTTGCTACGTAAAACATCACGTGTATGAGAAAGAAAAGTTATCCGACGCATTATACAGATTGGCAATAGCTCGATAATATTGCGAATGTGCGCAGAAAAATATTGTGAATATGCATGATTTTATCTTCGGTATTAGTAACATGTCTAATTTCTAATACGGAAGAGAAAATTATAGAATGTCATTATACGACAGAGAGCCTGGTAAGGACGTAAATTTAACTTGAACGGCAGTCGCGACTAGTCGATCCGTATAATATTTCAAAGCTTGTTCATGTTGCTAGAAAAAAATATTAATACTTTTCACTCTTAACATTTTTCTCGATAACTATCGAATCTTTCATTTCGATTCCTCAATTTCTTGAATTAGCAATATAATTTGCGAATATTTTTCAGTTATATACCTACATATAAATTTGCTACGTTTCTTCGTTCAGCACTAAGCGCCACCCAAGAATGAAAAGAGTCCCTTGATGGACGCCAAGTATACTCGTAGCTTGTACCACGAACAATGCTGCTATATTGTGAAAATATTGATTAAAATTCACCAACAATGGAGACAATGCCACAGACTTGGCTGTCTTAGGCCGACACTCTAAAGAAAAAAAAGCGGCTCGAGCATCGTCTTCTTCCCGTCCGTGACACGACGGCTGCCATATCGAAACAATACCTTTACTCTTTAGTTTATTGTTTATCACATTAATGAAAAATATTCCGCGATAATATATATGTATATCATATTAGTTTGGAAGCATCACTGTTAAACATAGAGGCAGAATATTTATACTTACATATAGATAATTCATGCAAATAAAAGTGCCGTATGTTACGTTCACTATATACGGCATAAATTAAACTTTTATAAGCACTTTCGTAATTCATTACAGCTAGCGTATTCAAAAACTTAGTAAGTTTCTTATTCAATCAGATTCGATTATTTTTTGAGCATTAATTGTTATTGATTTTGGAAACAATTCACAGAAATTCACTCCGTTGCATCGAACGATTCGTTTCCAATAACTCTCGACTCAAGTAGCGCGGCCAAACGCTCCTTTTTCACGCTGACGCAGTATTGGATTCGAACCGCGATGTGCGTCGATTGCAGGATTTAAATATTTTTCACTCTTCAGAGATCAAGAAGATAAGTGAGCGGTTGACTTCGTGCTCGGCAATAAGCTACCAGCGGCACTTGAAAATTTCAGGTACGTATGTAACTCAAAACTGCTGACGTGTGTTTCTAGGTTTCTTAGTAGCCGAACTTGAAACAGAATAACAAGCGATGAAAAGTCGGAAAAAAGAGGAATAATTGTTCTTTTCTAGGAATGTTCTAGAGAAAAGAGAAGAACAGCTCCGAAATACAAAACGCGATATTTCGATTTTCTCCCCCATTTTATCCTTTTAATAAGAAAATTGCAGCGCTTAATTGCTGAAATAGAAATTACATTCTTTGATTTCTTTTTCTACATTTGCTGCGCAGCAACGTCAAATATCAGAATATCACCCCAGCGTTTCTTTTATCTTACTACTATACTTACTATATAAATTGTGAGGTTGCGAGAGTAAACAGCGTTAAAATCGTAAACTGAGGTCTGAAGGATGTGTATGTTATAATATTTTCAGGTTTTTAAACACTATCTTATATCCTACTATTTCATACAGAAGAGATAATTTCTGTGAATGAAGAAAGTTGTGTAAAGCAGAGGAGGGGATCGTTTTAGAAACACGTGCTTTAAAGCGAGTGTCAACGTGTCGCACAATTGCGCTTTGACTAGACGCAATGTCCTAACTTTCAGAAATGTTTATAATAACATTTCTAAAATATGAATGGATTTCAATAAGATCCACTTCTTCCACGGTAAGAAATTCAATCACCGCCCTTGTTTGTTACGTGTATCTAAAAAACACACACGAGTTTGAACTGTTCGACACACTAACCTAACTGATCACGACACCTCAATTCAACATAATGTAACTAAAAACTTCAAGTAACAACTCAATGAAACGCAAAATTTTCTATGGCGCAAGATTCGAAAGAAAAAAATTAGGAGGCATATTACTTTCGTACTGACCCTCGTAATAATAGTCGTAATACTTTTCCCCTCTTCTTATCTAAAGTCTTCTTTCGCATAGATAAAATAGATAAGAATAATGTTATACAAGTATATTTCAACCACATATTTGTACTTATACATTTATATAAAAATTCTAAACAAAAATAATCACATCAGTATTGACGGATATCCAAATAAGAATCTGAATCTGAATCTGTTATGCAGCAAAAAATCCATTGAATATCTATGCGCATTAGATTGGATATCTACGCAAAAGTGTAGTTTAAAAATCTAGATTAACGGGCGTTAAACCGTGTCGTGCGTTTTCGTAGGAAAGAGTAGCGTGCTTAGACGGAAACGCACGACAGCAGATGCATCGTTAGCCGCGCGGACTTGCTCCACTTCTTTTTTTCTCTCTCTCTCTCCCTATTTAGTTGCGTGCGAGGAAGGATAAGCGACGGTGAGCAGGAGGCGAGCGATTACGTAAAGTGTGGCGGCATTTAGCCCAACTAATTGCGCGAGAACCGCGGCGAAAGGGAGGACGGTGCGCGCGCGCGCGCTGACGATCGCATATGACGATCTTTTGACACGCGACGCCGACTTGTTAGTAACGCACGCGGCCGGCATATGTCGCTTTTCTGACAGCATCGGCGCTCTCTCTCTCTCTCTCTCTTTCCCTCCCCCCTCCCCCCATCCTCCCTCTCTCTCAATTTGTTCGAATACTTGCGAATTAATTCATTAATCTGTTGCATTTATTCACCCGTTGTGTACGATAAAAACGTAACAATAACGATATCGCGGATAATTTTGACTATTTTGAGATAGTATATGTATATAGTGTGTATAATACTTTTTGTAAGTATGGAAAATTTATATTCTATTGTTTTTTTCTTTCAGGAGTAATAATATTATGATGAGTATATATCATAAATTATAAGTATATATACATATATATTATTGTGATTAAAAGTTTTAAACATGTTACTAAAAGCGTATATATAAAATCAGTAAATGATACACTTACTGTTATAGTCAATGTATGCATTTACTAATCAATGTATACATTTATTAAATTTTATGTTTCAAATTTATATCTTTTAAAATAAGCAATATTATTATATCATACTGATATTAGATTAGATTGGGTTAGATTAGTTTTTTTTTTCCAGGGGGCGCAGCCCCCACTCCTCTATCTCACTACACTCATACTTATACATTAGAGCTCTGTTAAGTGTATACATTTACTGAATTTCACGCTTTTACTATAACATATACACGTGGTAGTTTTAAAAAAGCATTTCAAAAGATTAATTTAAAATGAGTATTATATTGATAATCATCATAGAGATGAATATTAAACGCTGTTTAATACGTATATAATCGAGTAAAAAAAAACGATGGTACCGTTTCGTATTTAGCACGCAATTATTATCGCGTCCACAAGGGAGAAATAACGATCATTGCAGACGAGATGCATTTGATCTTGGGGCAATTCTTTCGAATCAACGAACCACCGTGAAAACGGCCGATCTCTCCGCCTCGATGTCGCAAACAAAACGCCTCTCCACGGACTCGTGAAATGCTCTTCAATGGAATCTGTGCTCGCGCGTATATGTACCGCGGAGCGCGAGTACTCGGCCGAACAGACCGAAATTGCTCGATCGCGCTTTTTGTTTGTGGTCACTCTTGAGGCGGGCTCGAGAACAAAGAGGTGCCCTTCCAGCGTCGATGTATTTTTGCTTTCATTGAACATTCTTCCCCTCCATACCCCCCCCCCCTCTCTCTCTCTCTCTCTTTCTGTATAAGCTCATTTTTCTAAAAAACGTTATTTCGCTAGTACTCTTTTTTACGTACGTTAATGCGAATGTACATACATACATACATGAGAAAATTAAACATACAAATTTGATCGTGCGAGGCGTTAAGTTTGATAATCTTAATAGAAAAAAAATAAAAAAGATTTTTCCGTCGTAAAGAATTATTTTTATTGTGAGAAATTACCTACTGATACACGAGCACACGAGCACAAATAAAACTTATAAGTCGAGAAAGAAGAAGATTTTAATTCTTATCTTATCGTGGACTGCAGTGACGGATTTATTGGTAAGCTAATAAAGAGTTAAGTTCCGGGGCCTCGTGATGCCGATGAGAGCCTTAATTCCGACTACCGCCGAATCGTTTCCCGGTTGTTGATATGTCGTTTCATATTTTTCATTTCTTTCTACTCTCGGAAAAATATTTATATATGTCAGTTATTTAATTAGACGATAAAAATGTTAATAGAAATTTATGATTTATGATTAGGATTGTCGATTATATCTTTTTGCATTAACCTATAATATAACTAATTGTATCTATTTTTGTGTGAAACATAAAATAATGCCGCTTAATAAATTTTTTCTCCGTTGAGTCTGTTAATAATAAATAAACGAATACATACATTTATAATTATATATTTTTCAATCAAACTTTTCATTGAAAATAAATTCCCCCAAATATTAACCATAGGCTCTCGAGAATGTATACCCGTCTCTGAATGAGATTCGACAGCACATTTATACCGCATTTAGCAAACAGCATCAAGTAAACAGTCAGAATAGTAACGCTCTTACGTAAAGAAGTCGTGACCAAAACGTCTCGTAATCGTGACATGAACTAATTAAAAGTAAATAGAGTAAATATTAAATATAAAATCAAGTATATGTAAAGAACGTAAATCTCGCCATATTACGTAATTATAATGTTACAAATACAAATAAGGAAGGTAACTATGATATAATATTGTATTATTTTGTAGATCATTCTTGCCTGAAAAAGATGAATTAAGTGTAAAGAAAAAGAGAAAACTCTAAACTAACTAGAAACTTTGCTTGTTACAACACACTGATACCTCCCTCCTATATATACCTGCTCTTGTGAAAACTATCCGACGTGTATGTGTATGTCGCAATGTACTCAAAAGATTCGATTAACAGCGAATCCGTGCTTATTGCCTCGAATCGTTAAAAAAAAATTCACTCGTTCATCGAAAATGAGCAGTACCGACTTATGGATGCGTGACATTCTCGCGAGTTACGGAGTGATCCTATTGATCATTTTATGCGTCGCGATCTGGATGATTGAGAAATGGCCAACGTTACGGAAGGACACCTACAGAGCTCATCTTTTGGGATTCGAGATGGAGTGCGCCGAGCTGGCCAGTCCGTACAAGGAGCATCTCTTTAAAGTGCTACAGTATATTGTTTCCAACGATGAAATGTTACGATCAATGGGCTCTATTCGCATCCTTGAAATTGGTGTTAAAACGGGTGCGAATTGGATTAGCGCGCGCGCGCGCACGGTATCTCTTTTGTAGTTTATACGTAACGAATGCGCAACGTTTCCGCGATATCAAAGTCCTCGTTACTCGAAGAAGATCGGTTAACAAGCGTTTGCCTATCGTCCGTGTGTTTAGCTCTCCCGTCTTATTCTTTTTATTTTTTATTTTTTATTTTTTATTTACTTCATCCAAATTAAGCATCTCTCCTCTCATTCACATATCTTGTTTTATCTAGTCTATAGGAAATAAAAAGAGCTTTTGTTTTTTCTGTAATTTTAAATTGCATATATTTCGCGACAAATCTTTTTATCAATAAATACTTTTCAAATATATACGGATAAGAGAGAAGAGAGACATTTAATTAACCTATATCTATTAATCTATCTCGTGTGCTCCGAAATAAGGCGTAACACGAATGTGTATATATAAAGCTGTAAAATTCTTTCGCCCTTTCCAGTATATTTCCAATATATTTAGTATACGGAATTAATATTACATTATTCGAGTAAATATTGATCTGATACAAGCGCATCTTGATCGTAGGCGAAAACGTACAGTTTTATCCGGAGAGTACGCACCTCATCGGTGTCGATTGGAACATCAAACTAGGCGAATATCTGGTCAAAGGAAATCGTTCATGGCAATTTTCTCATGTGATTATCGAGCGATTAATAACGGGCGACGGGAGTTCCTTGAAGGAAGTGTTAACGGGATGTGTGGATGCGGTTGTGACAACTAGGTCATTGTGTTCCGTTAAATCGTTACAATCTACCCTTCAGGAAATTCGACGGGTATTAGCTCCGGTAAGATTTCTTTACGCAAAAATTTCAGGTTGTTAACTACATCAGAATTATATCTATTTATATACATATATATGTATATATCTAATTGAAAAATTGCGAAACGTCGATACATCATCCTTTTCTTTCCATTGCAAACTTTTAGGGCGGAAAATATATTTTCGTGGAACACGTTCCAGAAAAGGAAGGCACTTTCATACGATGGTTGCAAATAGCGTTGACGCGAACCGGCATATGGCCTGCTTTATTTGGCGATTGTCGTTTAGATGTTGACTGCGTTGCGGATATAGAAAACGCTGGTTTCAACAAAGTTTCATGGACATTCTTAGCTTTGGAAGGATATGTCTCACATCCGTTTCATTTGACTCTCTCCAGACAGCACGTGTTTGGTATAGCTACGAAATAAAAATTCGACAAAATTGGAGATAAAATTCAATAAAAAAAAGAAAATATATATGAAGGAGAGTAGAAGGTGATGCTTTTAAACAGAATTTAATAACCCCTACTGTTAAACATACGGTTGCGGATCTGTTATATTATAATTATGATATAGGGCTGTTTCAACGAGGAGCAAGTCGGAAATCTTATACTATTATTGAACGGAAATTGACAAGATTATAATGTAATGTATGCAGAATTGCTTAAAGAAAATATACATATCCTCTTCTATGCAAAAATTTGGGGAAGACAGAAACTTGTACATATTCCAACAAGACAATGATCCTGTAATATAAACATACGCTGAGTTCGATAAAACAGTTATTTTACAGAAGAAAATAATACATCTCAGCTGTGCCTTGGTCATCACAAAGTCCGAATATTAATCCTATAAAGCATTTATAGAGGGAATTAAACCGATAAATTCCGTAAAATCAACGATGTAGATAGACGATCGGTCGATTTATAACTGTGTTAAAAGAAACATATAGCATGGAATTTTTGCGACATTACAAAAATTTATTTATAGCATCCTAGGTAGTAAGATGACGTCTAAAGAATGACATAAAATAATATATAATATATTATTTATTTTACTGTTATTATAACAAATCAATTTATGTTAAAAACCCAAACCGCACTTGCTTCTATTAAATCCATATATGAAATAAAATTCAGTGTTAACTTAAATACCAACGTGACTCTGATGTGTGTGTGCATGCATGTGCGTGTGCGCGCGCGCGCACACACACACACATATACGGACAAATTATAAAAAATTGTAAAACTCTTAGGGGTTTGGTATATATATACTTTGCATAGTTAAAATTAAATTAAAAACAATCAATAAATTGCAGCAGACAAATGTCGTATTTGCGAATTATAAAAATTCTTAAAATTCTATTGACTTTCGAATATTTCTCGCACACAAACCAATTCCTGTATCTCATACATAAATAAAATTATAAAAAATTCGCATTAAAATATTCTGTGTAAGAAAGGCGATATCGGTGATACATTAAAACTTGTCGATATTTATATAATACTCTAATAATCATATATAATAACTTAAATACGCGCCATTTTTATAATAATGCATATGTCAACGTTGATGCATAAATTATATCTCAGATATATTTTAAGCATAAATAACATTGTACATATACTACATATTGTCCAGCTCTTCGAGCATACATGCTTGTGTATATATATGTATATTTATATTGTATAATATATATATATATATATATATATATATCAAATTTATATTCTATATTCAGAATGTCTATAATTATATCGTTTAGTTGTATAATATATAATATATGTCATCTCTATATATAATAGAATTAAGAGAGACACACATAATTAACTATAACTCATTATTCCTCAAAGAATTCAAAAAGTTAATTTCAAAAAGACGGGGAAGAAACGATTTCTTAATAAATAAAACAGAAAATATATTTTTTCTGTAATCCCTGTCTTCTGCTGTACCGATTCATTATATCTATTAACTTTTTATCATATTTTCAGTCTACTTGTAAATATGCAACCGTAACTTATGAGGTAGAAAGAAAAGATTGAGATGAAAAGAAAGGGCACAGAAAGAAGGGAGGGAAAAGAGGATAAGTATTGCTGTTATATTTCTCTCTAGACGATGCGCTATATTTATTTTATTAAAGATATGAGCTTATTTTATATTCGCTACATATTCCGTACACGTTATACCTACAAGTATATTTTAAACAATTTCGTAAAATTTCACATTTCCTCTATACACATCTGTACATTTATACATTCTTCATACATTTTACAAACATACATCATGCGGATTTTAGTACATATATTTCTTGAAAATTAAACTACAAAGTCTGCTACAAAGTTTCGTTCGAATCGGAAGAATCGTAATAACTTTTCGTTTGGAACGTCAACAATTTTCTTACCGTAGGTGTAACGTACGTTTCGTCATGCGGAATAACTAGTGAATTCTTAGATTTGTCCGAGATTTCCTTATGTTCCGGTAAACTCCGGTCAAGATTAGTTGCCTCGAGGTGCCTTGCATTTGAAAACATTTTTTCTCGCACGTGTTGCGTCTTGCATGTGTTTCGTACATCATTTATAGGAGAAGAGGAAGACGCATCTTTTCTTGTGTCACGGATTCTTGACTTAAAATCACCATTAGATCCTTCATTAGCCAATCGTTCGTTCGCTTTAGCTTCTTCGTCGATTGGTGTCGATCTGGTTCTTACGTCGTGCACCCGATTGTGCTTTTCAAGAGAAGAATTCAATGAGCTTGAATATCTCTTGCTGTACCTCTTTGCAACAGAATCGTTAAAGATCTCTTCCGGATTTACACGATTGTGATGTCGCAATCTATTGCGAATAGAACTTTTTAACGCTTTAAAAGTAGATGAACTGTTGCTTTCTTCAGAATCTGAAGAGTTTGTGTCAAATGTTTTCGTTTGGAAGAACATAACATGGACATCCTTGCGATCTATCCCATTCTTTGTTATCGCTCCATTTGAACTCTTTCGACTGTTATTATTTATTTTATTTTTCTTACTATCCAAAAACGAAATTCTTGCCCTACGTTTATCTGAATTATCAACAGCAAAATCGTTGTCATCTTCACTTGAGAAAAACACAAATCTTTCATTTTTACGTATCCGTAAGGAGTCAGCTGCGTCAGTCGTTCGCGTACCGTCAAAAGATTTGATCTCGACAACTCCACTACATTCTTTCTTCTCTTTTATCGATCCAATATCTCTTTGTACAGTTTCTTCCGACGAACGAATTACCATACTTAAGTTCCTACTAGAACGATCATTGTTTTTATTGCTAATAATCAACTTGGTCTGATCGCAGAATATTTTTTCGGCGATATTTGGTTTGTCTAATATATCGTCGTCTATTGACACTTTTGATCTTTTTCTGGGATATTGTATCGATCGAACAAAATCATCTTCATCTGACGTAAAAGATAAAACTGAATATTTATCTTGGCTCGCTTCACTACGATTTTTATGTCGAAATGTTTCCTGCTGAAATGTAGAATCTGATTCTGTCTTACTTCTGTCGAAAACTTGATTTCCACTTTCTGCGACAATGTCGAATATATCACCTATTTTATCATTATTTTCATTGGATTTGGCATTCATTCTTAACGAATAATTGTTACGAACTGGTCCAATAGCTGCTCCATTTTCATGAGCCAGAATTTTGGAAGATTTTCTAATTTGAGATTCCCGTTTACGATTAGTTTGCAGACTCGTATTCCGCGAAATCTTCTTTTCATTGGGAAAACTATTTGTATTTGTAACGTTGCTGATCTCCTTAAGACATATATTTCCAGGTAATCGCTCCAATACGACTTTAATTTCTCGAAGTTTTTCATTATCTTTCTTATTTGCTCCATATGGATTAGAAAAGTGCGCCTTAGATTTATTTGATATCCCTTTTTGCCAAATAGCATCATTTTTATTTAAGGCTTGCATCTTCATCGTTGTACTTGTACAATTCTTTGCTGATAATGGCAATCGTTCCAATAAAACTTTAATCTCTCGCAGTTTCACGTCGTTATCCATTTTGTCTTTTCCGTATAAATAAGAATATGTTTTAGATTTATTCCTAACACAGATAGCATTATTCTTATTTGAAACCTGCGATTTCATTGCTGTATTTGTACAATCTCTCGTTAATAAGCGTGGTAGTTCCTCTACAATCCGTAGCTCCTTATTCTGGCTCGCGTCGGTATCCCTCAAACTTGATAATTCGCCGCCTTTCCTTTCTGCATTCGAAGCAGAGAAGTTGTCTTCGATATTCAATCTCAAATTAAGAGAGCAGTCACTTAAAGAAGAAGCATGCTGCGATGCATTTATGTTACATTGGCAAATAAGAATAGTACTTTCATCGCTATCTATCGTTTCTACTTCCAGATTTTCAATCTCGCAAGAATCCAACCTTTTGAATTTCTTTAAACGCCCGTCATTATGTACATTCTTTTTTTGCGCAATATGGGTATTCTTCAAATATTTGCCAAATTTGAGCTTACGTCGTTTAAAAGGTTTAATCCGCTCTAAAAGTACGATTGGCTTTAGATTAAGAGACGGTAAATTTTGTTTACGTTTCTCATTGTTTATAGAAACATTTGTGTCATCGCATTCCCTAAACGGTTTGTCATCTCGTCGTCTATCCAAATTATTCTGGAAAGCCGATAAACTTTTGGAAGAGCTGTCAATATTGGAATCTTGAATCCTGTTGTCATTTGTATACTTGTTACTAATGTCTGTAATCGTTTTATTGGAAGTACAAGAAAGTTCTCTTCCCTCTTTCCGTTTCTTAGAACCAAGGCTCCTTTTAACAGAAAGAGAACGTTTATTTTTGCCTTTGTGAACCAAGACCGTGTTCTTTCTCTTAATCGTACCATCCGGATCTAAGGCAGGATGTAAACTTTGTTTTGTTCCAGATAATCTACTTGTACCATGTGTTTCGGTTAGTATCAGGTCTACAGGAGAATCGCGGCCCGTGTACAATTTCTTACGATGGAAAGCTGTCAGACTCGTATCTTTTGCAATAATTTCACGCGCAACGTCCGACGTTTCCGACACCTGCCTCCCGTGAAAAGTATCCATTTCCAGCATCCTATCCTGACCTGAAACGTCATTACTTTTATCATTCTCGACCAATCGTTTTGACGTCTTATCAAATTGCCGAAAAATGGATGCAATGTCGTCTATAGTTTGCACATCTAAATTTCTTTGACTGGTAGTCGACTCATCTATATTATCCGTTTCCTCACTCTGCGAATAAATATTAGATTGTATCGCGTTAGCGGATACTAGGGTACTAGCTACTGCGCCATCACATATTTCTGTTGCCGTAGATTTTGTCCTTGACATTGGATACAATTCGGTGTCTGAAACATCAACATCCACATCCACATCCACATCCATCTCCACAACAACATCATCAACATCGGCATCGGCATCGGCATCGGCATCAACATCAGCGTCAACGTCAACGTCGACGTCGACGTCGTCAACCTCAACCTCAACGTCAACGTCAACATTGCTATCGGCATCGTCAACCTCAACGTCAACGTCAACATTGCTATCGGCATCGTCAACGTCACCGTCAACGTCAACGTCAACGTCAACATTGCTATCGTCATCATGTATCACACAATTCATTCTTGTAGTTTCTATACATTCAATTTTATCATCGGATGAAGCTCCTACATCTTTAATAGAAACCTCTTTCAAAGATTTAGCCTCGATACATTTTGCACCTTCTATAATAGCTATAGTATCCGCTTTCTTTGTGACATTTGCATTTGATAGAATGTAAGCTGCAGTATCTACAGAACTGCAGGATGAGTCTTTTCGCTTATCACCTGCATCTATCGTATTTACTGAATTTACCGCATTTACAGCATTTGTGACCGGAGACCCTAACAGAGATGTAGTTTCTTTCTCGCTTAGAGACGAACCACTTTCAGACAGCTCATTCTCATCTAAAAGTACCTTATAGGGCGGATTACCAGTATTTATCCAATACTGTACTAAAGTCGCTGGTTTACGCATAGGTATTCGCTGCCCACAACTATACTCTTCCTCGCTAATTGCTTTCTCTTCTTCCTCTTCTTCGGGTTCTAGAGTATCAACATTTAGCTCTATATCATCAGACATCTAAAAGTAAAATGTGAATTTTTTGCAACGAGCAAAACAGCAAGTATCATAGGGTGTGATGAGTAACAAGAGTTCTCAAACGTGGTAAAGGCATTCAAGAAAACAAATACCTCCTTGGAATATTTATCAAACAAGTTGCTCCAAGTTTTCTCCCGAACCTCCAGAAGTTCTTTTGGTATTTGAAAATTAAAGGTACTGTCTTTTGTTCCCGTAATCCTACACAGAAGACAACATCAGTTAAAAATAATAATAGATGTACGTACACTGAGCCTTATGTGAGTCACGAAACAAATTTTTAATTGGAGTGATGAAGATACTCTGGTATCTTCGTACATCTTGTATGGAATTGGATGGAACAAATGTGAAAATAAATTATACTTATGTTTACTAAGTAAACTTTATTTATATCAATATTTTATTTTTATTCTATTACAGAATGTCAAAATATAGTAAAATAACTTGCAATTTTTAAGATGATTGTGAGGAACCTTGGTTATAGAGTAATGGTAAGTTGTTTATAGAATGTTTGTCGCATACTGTTTTATTGCAAGTATCTAGTTGCAAACTTTCCGTTTTTCTTCGCTTTTAATTTAAATCTCGGCGAAATATAACAGTTGCTGACAACTGCAACACGTCCAGTTGAGTCATATATCTGGCACTAGATGAAGCTGCATTTGCTGGGTGACGTATTTCATGTCCAAGAACGTCTTACATATAGCTAAACATATAAATGACTTATCCTACTACATTGAGATTTTAGACGCGTGCTTCAATGCAGAGTTCAAAAGCTAAATCTCGTAGGAATTTTCTGCATCTGTCTGTTGAAAAAGTCTTGGATGTTCCATATATACATATAATTTACACTGCTAGTGCTGCAATGTGGATGACATGTAGAAGAGCGCCAGTGTGGTCAACAATTTGTTTTGCAGTCTCTGCAAACCAAACATTGAAGCACCCATCCAAAATCCCATTGTAGTCGAAAAATCATTTACATAGGTTCAGCTACGTAAGACGTTCTTGGATATGAAATACATTCTCCAGCAAATGCAGGTTCTTCTAGTGCACAGAAATATGACTCAACTAGACGTGTTGCAGTTGTCAGCAACTATTATATTTGCCAAGATTTAAATAAAAAGTAAAAGAAAATAAAGGAGGCTTGCGCTACTTGCGACACAAGGCAGTATGCGACAAACATTCTACAAGCAAGCCAACGTGCCATTACTCTAACCAAGATTCTCATTCCAACCAAAGTAATCATTCTAAGCACTGTAAGTTACTATATTTTAACACATTTTTTAATAGAATAAAAATAAAATATAAACATAAATATAATTCATTTTCACATTATTTCTATCTAATTCCACACAAAATGTATAAAGGTATTCAGATACCTTTGTCATTCTAATTCGGATGTGTTAAACAACTTTTGGTCCCCTCCCTCCCCCTCAAACTGAGAAGATCTCTTCCCTATTAGGTAAACCTGTTCAAAAATAGTGCTAAAATAATCTATTTTTCGACTTGAAAGTTCTTACGGAGTTTTTGCTTCCCTAATGCGACTAGAACGTAAAAAATGTTTAATTTAAAATCGCCAAAGATACCCAGTCAGCCCAAGTATACCTCGTCACTCACACAAGGGTTAAATTGATATATGTTAACTTACCTTTCGATACCTTGAGAATAAGACTGCGAAAGAAAGTCATTATTAATGTTGTCATTCACTATGCAATTTTCCATAAGTTGTTTTATGTCACCGCGTCAATAACGTCGAGTAAGATACTTATATGATTTGTAAACAAACTCGTAACTGTGACCCTGACATGTGAGAGCCATGGAAGAGGAATAGAGGATTGAATGCAGATTGCAAAATCAGCAGAATGTGACTGAACGATCGACAACGAGTTTGTTTTTCTTTTAACTGCACTAGTTGAACTAGTGCACACTAGTGCAGTAAGTAGGTCAACCCAGCAAACTTGCATAGCATAATGGAGCATAGCATAATGGAGGATTCACACTGGGTGCGTTCAGCCGATACTCCGCTAGCCTAGCAATCGTGAGCAGTCGCTCGTTTTCGCTCGTTTTCTCTCCTTTTAATCCATTGGGTCAAAAGAGAGAAAACGAGCGAAAACGAGCGACTGCTCACGATTGCTAGGCTAGCGGAGTATCGGCTGAACGCACCCACTGCGTCCAATGTTCGACGTACGACGATCCAACATCCAATAGGAAATTTTTGTCTCTAATAATAAATTCTTTTATTGGATGTCAGATCGTCGTATGTCGAACATCGGACGCAATGTGAATCCTCCAAAAGCGTCCCAAGAAAATCGCCGTCATTGCGCCTCTCATTCTTCTCTTTGCCGATTCTCTAACGAGAAACGTATGCGCCAACTCTGCTCTAACAGAAAGGCTGCAACGTGATTGGCTATCGCACAGTTTTTAGCCAATAAGCTTGCAGCTTTTCTGTTAGAGCAGAGTTTACAATACGTTTGTCAATAGAGAATCGGGCCCTTGATTGGTTACCCCCTACTATGTTTCCTTTCCGTTCTGCTTTTCCATTGCGCTTTTTCTTCTACGTGGGACTGCACCCTTTATGTATTTTATCCTCTATGACATTTGAGTAGTATTAACGTTTCTCTTATTTGAAAAAGTCAAGACTCAAGACTGTTGTATTATCTTTCACATTCACATTTCTTCAAATTGCTGCGACTATGTCGGAGATTAAAGATGATCCGCGAGAAGTTCTCGTTCTTCTGAATTCATTAGGATTCGTCGGCATTACTGCGATTCAACTAAAAGCGTTTATGAAAGGTAAGTGCATTACTTGCAACGCTTTATTTTCCTTTTCCGTTTATTTTATTTGTATCCTATTAGTATTATTATGTTTATGAAATACTTTGTTAAAAACAATTGTGATCATACTAAATTTTTCTTTCTAGATTTGAAAATATATAGAAAGGTAAAAGAACGCGAAAGGCAGCAACGGAAAGAAGAAATCAAAACAAAAATAATTAGCAAACAACAGGCTCTGCTCAAGGAAGTTTATAGACATCGCAACACAGCAGATTGTTCCTCGAGTAATATCATTCCTTCTGAATCTTCAAATTCCCTCGACGATGAGTCAGTGGTAAAAGTTAGAATAAGGTGTATTCCTAAGGAGGAAGATGTACAAAAACAAAAACGTTCCAAAGCAACTGCGATAAAATCAGATGAGAAAGTGTCAAAAGCAAAGTATGACGAGGAAGATGCTATTCAAGTAGCTGAATCTGATAGGATTCATTGCGAACGAAATTATTTTAATACTAAATCTTGTCCTGTTATCAGAAGTTCAAACAACGAAAGCAAACAAAATATTTCTAAATGTTTAGTAAAAAATGATCGTTTAACAGAAAGATGGAAACAAAATTTAAGAATAGAGGAACATATGAAACCAGTGACTTTAGTACAAGAACATTCAGCGAGTGCACCTGTTTTGTCGAATCAAATAAGTCGATCAGAATCAAAGAGTATTACATCTGATCCGACTGGAAACATGCGCGCGCAAAGTACCTTATCTGCAAGATCATCAGTTAATTTTGCACATAAATCATGTAAGTTGTGCGATGTGTATTGTGTATGTGTATATGTACTATATGATTTGTTCAAGTTTTTAAGGGTTTTTGGCCATTTGTTTTGTTTGTATCCAGTTATTCGGCCATGGAGATTGCAGTCGGAGGCACAGAAAAATATTACTAACAAGAAATGTGACCCTGTTGCCCTTTACCAAAAGTACCAACAAGAATGGAAGCAGATATCTTTTCCTGGAGAAGCAAAGCACTCGAAAGTAAGATGGGCTGTACGGGAAAAAATGCTTGGTACAGACCCACATCCCGTGGTAAGATTCGCAAATTGTCACAATGCCAGTAATGAATAAGCGTTGAAATTTTTGCTATTTTTTAAGTTTTTTTTTTTTATTTTAGCCACTTTCCCAAAAATCGATGACATACATGCCGATATTAAAGAGGAAGTGATGATGTGTGATAACGAGTTGATCTTAGGAGGAAGAAATGTACACGTCTATGAAAAATTGATTCGATACACATAACATGATAATAATTAAACTATTTTACTTTATCTAATATTTTTTTAATGACTTAATCTGGATATTGTTAGGTGATACAGATATTTAAAATATGTACATACACAAGTGATGCAATCTGTATTATATAAAGAGTAGATAATACATATACAAGTTTCTAATTTCATTAAAAAATCAGTGTTCTTCTCATTGTTGATTAAGTTTAAACGGACGAACTAACTTCATACTGTCTGCCCTATGTAAATGATAAAGCAATTTTTCTTCTATTAGTCTGGCTGCTTTTTCCGTGAGTACCAGAGTATTGTGTTTCAGCATGCTGTACACATTCAGACCTGTATACATATAAGAAATGAAATATGAAGTTTCATGTGTACGATGCATATTAATGTCGTAATATCATTAGATATTACATGCTTATTTACAAGGCAGTGATAAGCATCTCCTTTACTAATTAAACAATTTTATTCTGATTTAAATATCGAGCGAACTGTAATTGGTCTAGAAGCATCTTAAAAGAAAACACGTTGGAAGAAAACACGTGTGAGCTCTCGCTCTCTCTATTTCATTGAAATTATAAGATGATTATATATGCAGAGATGGAATTTTAGAGTATTTAAATGGTTTTGTACACGGTCAGATTAGGCCACTAAATAAATTATATTATTCAAGCATAGTTATACTATTACTCTAGTGTACCTTACTAATCTGTGTAAATCTTTATGTACAATTATTCAGTTTTAAATATCTAGATATCGGAATTCATACAATTTACAATAAGGAGAACTACAAACATATTGCACAAGTATACCATAACTTACCATAAACGGGCATTAGATTGACATGCTTAATTTGATCGGTAGCTATGGTGATATTTGTAGGCATAATATCGTAGCTGTCTACAAAAAGAACAGATGGTCCCCAATTCCTCTCCTCGATTAGCTGTTCTATGTAGGAAGGTTCCGACGAAGGAATTTCTAATTGGTCAACTATATGCAAGTCGTCTTGTGCGAGTTTGACGGATAATGTTGCCGTAAGGCCTGCTATACGACTGTAAAATGGTAACATGTAAAAGTGTGGTGTTGGTGACCTAGGACCATGCGCCACTCCACCACCTCTCCACAATGGTGAACGTATACTTCCGTGGCGAGCTCGTCCCGTTCCTTTCTGTGGCCAAGGCTTTCTACCACCACCTCGGACTTCGGCACGTGTTTTTGTATGTGCGTAAGACTGTAAACACAAAAGATACACAAGTCGAGGCAACATACCCTTGACTCGCAAATATATATAATATTAATTACACTATACACTTACAACCCAGCGGTACATTCTTTGCCATCTCACATTCTGGTGAATGATATCGATACGGGGTGCAGCCGCATAGATGTGCGGATGTAAGGTGACCAAACCCAATTTCTTTTCTTCTACAGTATTTAAATTCTCTAGCCATACTTGCCGAGGCTTCTGATACAATGTCTTTTCGTCGTCGTACTGTATCTTGGATATTACTGGATCTTTAACTGTTGCTCGGTTCTCTATGGTCGTACAATATCTCAATGGTGGGTACGTAACTTTTTGCAATTTGCTAATGATCTTTCGGAATAGCGTCGACATTATGTCGAGAAGAGCCAATTTTATTCGGGTCTACAGTATCGTTCCTCTTCAAATGCATACGAGGGTGAATAACCTATTTCTAGATCTGCGTCGTCTGCGACAACCACGGGGACAACACCGACAACACGAGTTCGTCTTATCAACACTATGCGTTGGTTGGTTGGTTCTAAAAGTAAGAGCCAATCACGTTCGACTGCTACTCAGCGGCTTGGTCTGCTGAACGCGCACGCTCACGTCACACAACGAGCGACGAGCGTTTATTAAAGGCCGGAACACAAATGGGTGCATCGGAGCCGGAGCACGACTGCTCATTTACGAAAAAGTGTGTATCCGGACCCTTAGGACTAATAATTAGCTTTACAAAAGTATTACAAGCAGATTCATGTGAATAGCAAATGACGGAGAAGTTTGCGGATGACGTAGCTAGATTATGTATCGAAAAATACAACTTCCTAAAAGCAGGTAAACCCAATGCTCGTGAATGGACCGTGTTGTCTGGCATCGTTGTAAAAAACGCTGACGGCTTATTGTCTCTGGTAGCACTCGCTACTGGGACAAAATGTTTAGGAGACTCGGAATTGATGAAGAGTACTCGAGAAGAGGTAGGCTCTCGATTGAGCGACTCGCACGCAGAGGTTCTAGCCAGGCGTGCGTTTATACGTTACTTGTACGATCAGACCGATTTGACTTTGAGTGGCTCTGAGAGTGCGATTTTCTCGCGGAACGACGAAAATAGAATAGAATTAGACAGTAGGGTATCATTTCACTTTTTTTCGAGTCAAACACCTTGTGGGGATTGTTCCATTTTCCCTAAACTGGAAACGAATGACGATGGCCTAACTCCATGTAAGGTCAGACGTGTCGATCAAGAAGATACCAATGGACATATAATCGCAGAATCATATTGTAAAGATATACATAGGACAGGAGCGAAATGTGTGAAAGGAGACCAAGTACAGGATCCTCGTTTGCCTGGTGGAGATTATCATATCGTAGGTCCTTTGCGTACCAAACCAGGTAGAGGAGATCCCACGAGCAGTTTGTCTTGCTCAGATAAGATGGCAAAGTACGTATGTTGTTAACTATACATGTATATCCACCAATAGATATCGCATTGTATTTACAAACTTGACAATAAAGTTTTTCCTCACAGGTGGCTCATTCTCGGTTTGCAAGGATCACTCCTATCATTGTTAATACCACCAATAAAGCTGGAAAGTATCACGATCGGAGGCGACTGCCCGTTTTCTCTAGATGCCATGGAACGTGGGTTATATAAGAGATTTAACAACAAGTTGGTCAGACCTAAGATTTTGCAAGCAAAAATTGCTTTTGTACACAAAAAAGGACAACAAAGATCATATCCTTGCCCAGTAAGCATTATATGGTGTGCCGTGAAAGACAGGTATTGATAATATTTGTAATATATATCACAGTTTACATCGACCGATTATTTTTATATAATGTATAAAATTTAAATCTTTGTGTACAGTGCACTAGAAATGGCAGTTGCAGGCAGAAAACAAGGGATCACAAAGAAGAGAAAAGGCAAGAATTTACTCGTAACTAGACGAATGCTTTTGCGAAGCTTTTTGCAAATTTTGGACAAATATCAGAATTACTACAGCGAAATAAGACATCCAAAAAAGATTACATATTACGATTGGAAACAATGGTCAATAATTTATCAAAACGAATGGAAACAATTGAAACATGAATCATTTCACAATTGGCCACGTAAACCGATGCATTTGCAAAAATTTGCATTGTGAAGTTATTGTATAGACGCGACACATTTTTCTAGGCACATAAACCTCTTTATATACAAATCTTTCTCTTTCTCTCCCTTCTCCCCTCTCCCATTGTTATTTTAAAGGTATAAAAGTATTATATTTAATATAATTCTATTTGCAATAACAATACTTACAGTATTACATAGTTCGTTTACTTATATTAGTATAACCTATACCTAAACAAGTTAAACGTACTTGTGTTTCATCTTCTCCTTCCTTGATCTGTTCTATCTTAAAGGTAACTCCAAAGAAGTCTCGTAAATCGCGTAGAAATTGTATCCTGAAAACAACTCAAGTGTAACACAACCACGTTTCTTTTCTTTATAAATTTTTGTATAAATGAAAATTACTTTATAGCAGTACTCACATTGCTGGAGTTAATGGTCCTATTATAACTTTACAAATGTCTTTTTTACCAAGAGCCATAAATGCAGCAGTCATACTTTGAAAAGCAGAATCTATACATCCATTCCTACAAATCGATAAAATTAAGTTTAAATAGAGAAAAAGAGAGTGTGTGCGTGCGTGCGCTTTTTATGTATTAACAAGTGTTAAGGAAAATACAAATCTTTTTTACCTAAAAATTTCATCCAGCAGTTTCATTGCAGCTTCTTTGCCAAGATCTTCAGGTACACATGGCAATGAACCTGTCGTCATTAACGGGGAAAATGCTTGCCCGCTAAAAAATACTTCTTTAGTAGTTTCCGCTGTCAGGGTGATTCCAAAACCTGACATGTAACAAATCACAAGTAACAAAAGTTAGTGCAATACAATGATTAAAAATTATAATAATACATTTCGATAAATATACTGAATATACATCATCTACCTGGGGATTTTCCACTAGTTGATCTTTTACAATGGTCTGCATAAATATATACGTCTGGTAAAAACTTGAGAAGAACACTTTTTGCTGATTCAACAATACGATTAGCGATTGCTGGAGAAACCCTTATGCTACATGCAGTACCTCTAATACGTTTTACCATTCCACTATCTTCCAACTGAAAAAAAAAATAGAACGTTGCAAAATGATTCTGCGTGCATGCGCGTGTGTAGGTGAGTAGAAAATGTTTGAGTACCTGAATCGTTTTAAGATTACGGCTAATAGGACATTTAAATTGTACTTCTCCACCTCCTAAAGGTGCTACTCCTCTCTTGCGAATAGTTAGTACAATTTCATTGTCGCCTGCTAGAAATCTTTTCAGTATTGGTATACCAGCGGTTTGAATTCTGTCCACTGACGGATCTTAAATGATGTAAATCATGTTAATTACTGACTTTTAATAAAATAAATATATATCGTTACCATATTGTCTGATACCTATGGTATTATTGGTCACTCCTCTGAGCTTCAAATCAATAGAATTTTTACAAAATGGTGCCAGTATCATAACTGCTTCCAAATAATAACCGATACCTCTTTGTAAGCTACAGTCATGTTCTAATTCACCACCACTTAATAAACCAGGATTATAATATATACTGGTACCAGTTTCATTCAACTCAATTTTTGTACCATTAGTCATCTTATCCAATAGATGGATAAAACTAATTTCATACTCTGTTAAAAAAATCAATTGATATAATAGTTATATATTTTAAAAAAGTGAATGTGTGTATGTTTGTAATTAACAGTAATTAATGGCAAATATTGCTGGATATGATATTGAGATATAGCAATTAAAAGAATAACTTTTTTGGTGTAATAGAGATATTATTTTATAGAATTTAACTGAAAATTGCACTCAACAACAAAATATTATTGATTAACTTTTGTTTGTTATAATTTTGAAGAATAACACTTGTACCTGACATTTTTGCAAAATCAAGAAATAAAATTAATACTTAAAGAATTACTGATAACGTTAGTCATTTTTGTTCTTCGATTATTTATATATTATTTTAATCACACAGATGTACAGTCAAAATGAAAACATTGATTTATATATTTAATAAATATTGCTAACCTTTAAGACCAGGATCGTCATTCTTCGTCCTAATATTTACAATTTTTACTGCCTTTCCGGATAATGTGGACAGCAGTAAGCGATACCTCAGATAATTGCTGCCCTCATATATAAGTATTTTATTTTTTATTTTGGCTGGCATTTTTTAAAAAATTTGAACAACTGTAACATTTATTAAGACCACCACGTGTTTACACATACATGAAACCTGCCTGCCATGCTATCAACCATCGACCATCGACCTATCGGTTCTGACAGAGAAGGATGACTGACGCGTCTGACGCCCGCGTTTTGGCTGTTAACCGTATCATATTGGCCGCGTTCAGCAGACACAACTGTTGAGTTCGTCTTATCAACACTATGCGTTCATTGGCTGGTTCTAAAAGTTAGAGCCAATCACGTTCGACTGCTACTCAGCGGCTTAGTCTGCTGAACGCGCCCATTCATACGTCCATGGGATTACCGGTTAACCAATCAGAGTACAGCTGTTTTGCTCTGATTGGTAAATCCGCAGCGGCGCGCCATCAACAGGTAACCCCAATCGCAATCGAGCGGATCGAGCCCGCAATCTGTAGAGTCAGAGAGAAACCTGAGAGAGGCCATCCCGGTCTTTTTCGTGTGTTGCTGTGTTGCATTTTCCGACGCGCCGCCTGAGAAAGTGCAACTCAACTACGTCGTATCGCTCGGTAACCGCACATGGTTTGCGTCCGTGCTAATGGTTCGTGTCTGAACTAGCCAGCTGGAGGGGATATTATTCTGGCCGCGGCGGCCGCGCGCTCGGCCGGCCCGGGAGTTGCATCTGATTGCACCTGTTGATGATATTTTTACCTTATTTTATATTATATTTTTTTTTACCTTATTTTATATTATATTTTTTAAATATAGATAAATCGCGCAAAAATATCTGTTCCGCGTAAACAGCCACCGTCGCCTCGATATCCCTCACGTACTGACTGTTACTACGTTTATGCGAGCGTTACTTCTGTAGTAACTTACGATACGTCCGTCGCGTAAACGGGATTTTGTAGTAACTTACGATACGTTACTCCGCGTAAACGAATGATATATCGTAAGTTACTACAGAAGTAACGCTCGCGTAAACGTAGTATGAGGGAGTTACGTAATCGCCAGGCTAATGATCACTACGTGTTCGCGATATATGTATATAACACTCGCGTTTCGAGAGACAGCTACGTCGACCAGACACCACCGAGACAGAACGCAGAACGTAGAATACAGCCAGTTAAACCTGTGAAAGTTAACGAAAGATTCGGCATACGTTGTCTTTTATTGTTCGTTGAAAGTTTTCGGTATTTTTGAACCGGCCGCGGCCGCGCGCGTAGGCCGTGACGTCATGCGCCGCTCCGCGCCGCCGGCGCGGCGGATCGATACGGTGACGGTGATGTAGTAGGCAGTGTAGGCACCTGCGCAGTCCGTACTAGCCGCGTGACCGTTGAACTCGAAAGCTCCGTACCTCGAAGATCGGCGCGTTTTCAACGTTGTTTCTGGCGATGAGCGGACTTGTCACTTGTTTCCGTCAACGCTCGGAGTAGTGTTACCTGCGTGAGTGACTCAGTTAAGGCTCAGTCACAATGAGAGAAATAAGGAATAAGATAAAGGAATTAGGAATAAGGCATGTTGCATCTCACTTTAATGTACGTGTACTGAAGTGAGATGCGACATTCCCTTATTCCTTATTCCTTTATCTTATTCCTTATTCCTCTCATTGTGACTGAGCCCTTATCATTCTTCCGAGGAATCTCGCACCGGTAGGAAGTGTTTGTGCTTCGCGCGCGCTCGTCACCGACGTCACCGTGCTTCGTGCTGTTTTCGGAACGCGCTCGTTTCGGTGATTGGCATTCCTGCTTCCTCGTTTCGCGGGCCGCGGGAATACGCGCTACGCGATCGAGTATCGCGCGCCGTGTGCCGTGTGTGTAAAACAATTTAGAGTGTATGAGGTGTTTATCGGAATGAACGTGTCGCGCGACGCGCTCACTCGA